AAAGCAAGAATATATGCAACAATATTCGAATCGTTGATAATTGATTTTTCAGATATGATTTCAGATTTACATTTTTGATCAGCCTACTTCCAAATTACTTTGAGTTGTTGCTCCTTCTTTCGGATCGGCTTGATCTATTCGCTCTTTCCTTTTTTTGAACTTCTTGGAAGGGCAAGTTTCCTTTTTAGTTTCAGCTGCAACAAAGAAAAAAGACAAACGTCAAACTCTTTATTCAAGCTATTATATATAAAATTGTAAATACATATAAGGGGTGGGGATGTTGGATATATAAATTAGAAGCAGAAAAAGGTGAGAACTATTGTAACGGAGGGCAATACTTAGCATATACAGTACTTACATACAGTATATAAAGGATGCTTAACTTGTCATTACCTGTTTGCGGACCATCTTGATCGCGTTTTTATTACAAGGGCACTTCAAAAGTCCCATTTGCTCATGAAACAGACAGTCCACGTGGAGAGCGAGTGCACGGCTGCCCAGGTCTCTGTGTGGTGGTAGAATCTGGTCTTTGTTGAACGTGTGATGCATCACCACCAGAATCACAGTCTCACATGTTGATACTTTGTTACAGACAGAAAGCAGAGGTCACAGTTAAATGCAGCAAAAAGACAAACATAAGAAAACTTTTCCATGTGCGTTTGGGTTTCTGCATTTCTACCTGGGATGCTGGATAACGCTGAGAGAATGTCGGTCTCATAACGACTGACAAGGGGGCAGAAGACGATAATAGCCTTAGCCTTATCAATTAGGTCCACAACCTTTGCCCCTCTCTTGGTGAGCTTTTGAAGAAACGTACGATCAATCCCAAGGGTGTTTCCGGTTACATGTGAGAAGATCTTCATTATGTTGTTTCTGAAAAATAACAAAATAATCACATTTTAAGTTAACAAATAACTTAACCAAATCATTTTGATCACTTTATCTTATAACAGTCAATGACAATAAATTACAATAATAATATTAAAATGATGTCATATTTATGCTATAAGCAGAAAAAGAACAGATGATTTGGATTAATGTCATAACTATGATTTGTGTAAACAGGATTTTTTACAAGCTCTTCTAGTCACATACCAGATCCAACAGGAGGGTGGACCTAGCTTCGATCTGATGGCCATGCTGTTCTGTATATGCAAGATAACGTTTTTTGCCGTTATCCTGCATATACATTCATTTTTGAATGTTTGAACAGATAGATATTCCTTAAACTTTCTATATTCCTTAAACTTTCTAGAAGATTCTAGAAAGTTTAAGGAATATAGAAAGTTTAAGGAATATCTATCTGTTCAAACATTCAAAAATGTCCTCTTAAGAACGTTTTTTAACCATTGTATTTGTGCAACCTAGTAGGCTACTTTCGATATCTGAACCTTAACCCAATACAATGTGGAATTAAAACCAATGTTTACACACAAAAAGAGGCTTTTAGTAAGCATTATCTTCAACTTTTTACACGTTTTACTAAGCTTATTATACTACCAAAATAAATTTCACAGCGTAGAGAAATATTTTCGGACTTTTTCGCTGATATTTCTTGAAACCCTTTGCCCAAGAAGACTGTTGCTTCTCAATTTCAATCAGAATATCTTTAATGACTCAAAAGCATTATTATATTTCAAGTTAACTTACAGTTTTATAATCGATGTGTTTTGGTTTCGTGACCGAACAGCCTCTGTCGTTTTTTCCGGAAATCCAATGTTGTTTTGCCTTAGAAGCTTTTACTTTCAGTTCAAATTCAAGATAACATAGTGGCTGCAATACCACCAGCAGGTGTCAGTGTTGTACTATTATTGGTGTAGTTGCAGTTATTAGGCCTTAAAGATTGCACCGTATTTTTCATGTGAAGTATAAACCAGTTGAAACTAAACAGAAGATATGTCAATACAGGAATAAAAAATGTATAACATTACCGAATTATTTAGGTGTTTTCATTCTAGCTCTTAATATCTTATTGTAACAGCAGATATTCTTTTCACAGATACTAAATATACAGTTTTTATAACTGGCTTTACATCATATCTGTTCATTGTGTCAGCTTCTGAAATACTAGAACACTTGACTGCCTCAGGTCAGGAATAAATCATTAATTTGAGTAAGCTACATTCATATTATTACACTGACACACAAACATCACTGTGACTGTCACTAAACAAAACAGTGTGGTGTGTGTGTTTGTGTGGTGTGTCTGCGAGGGGGTGTAAACTGTATCTGTGGGAGTGATGATTCTTCACCCATCTGTAATGTAAAGTTGACTGGATCATCTGTATCTGCACCGTCAGGACGGGCTGACATTTCCTCCTCAGGCTTCACTTACCTCTGACAAATGAGCAGGGCTGCTGATGGAGTGGTCAGTGGGCAAACTATGGCCTTTATTCAGTGATCACCAGAAGAAAACCAGCAATGTTGAGAAAAAGATATTCAGCTTTTTCAGACATAGGCCTACTCTATGATTGCCTTTAATGATTTCCATAACACTCAGATCATTATGTTCTTTCATATGAGACTCACGTTGAACACTTTTGCTAAAACCAAGCTTTTTTATATGCCAGTAAACGTGAAAAAGGATACTATCATTGTTCTCTTAATAGTTTAATAGTTGCCTAATTTTAAATGGGTCATGTGTCTTTTCATATGTGATCTTTATAAGAAGGCGTTAACATAAATTGTTCCACATTGTCACATCAGTCTAAAAATGAATGCCACCCTCCCCTGTAATAACCTTAAACAAGACATGTGTTCAGTAAATTGAACTCAGGTTAAGCTGATTTAAGGCACCAGCATCCCTGATGAAAAAAACAAGCCGCAGCAACACGCCGCACACTCAACAGAGGTGATTATAACATTTAATCACTGAGACCTATCGCCGAGTCTTGCAAGGCTTCTCGCCGCAAGGTTTGATTTACCCGCCCTCTTCCTGAGGAAAAATCTCATTCACTAGACGGATTGCTGAGCGGGCCTCTCCGACCGGCCCCTATAAATCATTCTTTAATCAGAGGCCTCTGAGATTGGGCGCAGACACCCGCGGGAGCAGCGCTGTGACACCTCAACTCCTCCCCGTGCGTCTCTGCAGTCCGGGGAGTTTTTATCCTCTTCTGTTTTCTTCCTCGAGGTTGTCTGCATTTGTATCAGTCATGAGGAAAGTAAGAGGGATGACCCGCCCTGGCCTCTGCGCCCAAACACTTCCTGTTTAGAAGAGATTGATGCTACAGAACACAAGGAAGTTGTTTTTTAGGCTGCAAGAGAATGTAAGCTATGGGTCACAGCTAACCGGGTAAAGCAGAAAACAAAGTGGGAGCAACGGAGGGTTAATGGGAGCCCAGTAGCTCATTTTCGCCCCGGGGTCCCACAAAGTGGTTATCCGGCCATGCTGAGGATTAAAAAATGGAGACCACTGAGAAATTCCTCTCAATTATCTTGCCAATAGTTCCTTCATGAATGATGGCTGACATCTCTGAGTGTTTTTATCTTGTTATCTGCAAACAAGACGGACAACTAAATATATGACATAACCGGACACATGGGTGCTGGATCACAGGAAGTTAATCTATTTCGGGGTCACTGACACTTGTATTGTTGTTGCTTGTTTTTGTCACCAGTAGATTTTTTTTGAAAAAGTACTTAGTACAGTAAAGCCGGTAAGAAATAGAGTTAAAATTCAAATATAAATGTACTACTGAAGTCTAAAGGTTTATAATAGGGCCAAAAACAGACCCAAAAAAGTTTAATACTGTAGAAAAAAATAGAGCCTGTTTATGCTCCACATTAGGGCTGCAGCTAACAAGTATTTTCTTATTGATTAGTTTGATTATTATTGTAATGATGAATTTGGTTGGGATGATAAAATATGAGAAAATAGTGAAACATGTCTTGGTTTGTCTAACTTCCAAATGTGTTGAAAACCAAGATATACAGTTTACCATTATCACAACTACAGCAGTTTTTGAGAAGAAGGAACCATTCAATTATTGGTTATCAAAATAGTTGCATATTCTTGTGACTTAACTCATTGATTCATTTACTAATCGTTTCAGCATTAGGCTACTAAGAACCGATCACTCAATTTTAGCTGAAAGGTTGTTCAATGTCGACGCTCCACTGAGGTTTAAGGTTTATTATTTGAACCAGCAGTTGAGAAAGCAATTTCACCACAAGATCCATTGGTGTAGCTTTTCTGGAGCTTTTGATCATATGTCATGATCTTCATCAACAGATGGAGTTCGCCCAGCTGTCAAGGAATTATAAATTACGTTCCACATTTTATTTAAGAAAAATGGTCGGAGCACTTCTTGGACAAATTGTAGGAACAGAAGAAAACTGATTTAAGTTACAGCTATACAGTAGTTGATATGTTAACACTGGAAGTGTTTGCAAAAACCATGAAATCAAACAACATTTGTATTATCCCATATCAAGTATCATATTACAGTAGTATTTCAATATCCAGAAATGTTACCCAGGTCACATTCACTGAAAAAGATTAGACTCAGCTGGATGACCCAGCTTCCCGTTGATGGATAGCTGCAGGTTAGGACCATGGAAATATCAAAGTGTGAATGTGTATGGAGTTCCATCTGGAATTTTTGATTGCTTATGTGCTTTTGGTGTGAAAGTGTTAGAATCACATTTAGATTAAATGTCACAAATATCATACTCATAAATGTTGCTTCATCCTTGTCAACTATATCAGCCTCATTTGAACCTATCAAATCATACTGAATCTCAACTTGCCGGAAAAAAAACATTAACATATGGGGGGTGCAAATAAACTCATCTCCAATGTGTGCAATGCAGCAGCTATATCATATATCTGTGCCATAAAAAGGAACTTGAAGATGAGAAGTGAGTAAAGTCAGCTGAATGAGGGGAGAGAGATTTCTTTTTTTTTTCAAAATGCAAATATGCTGTGACGTCACCGTGTTGAAATATTTTTCTGTCGCTCAGCCGGTTTGGAGCTGTCAGAGCGCGCGCACTCCCACTGCTTCTCACTCGTGCGTGGTGACCATGGAGACGTCCCGGAGTTTTTTTTTAGGAGAATGTCATTTCCAAACTCAGTGTGCAGCGAAGGATGCTTTTTCAATTAACGCACTGAGGAGATTGGACACAGATGGATTGTGTTAATACGCTCCGCGATGAACTAATGGGAGTGTTGACTACCAACTGAGAAGACGCAGAAGTTGTCTTAATTCTCTGCTTTGGAGACAGTTCGGACACTTAAGCGACTAAAACAATCAGAAAGGACGGAACGCAGAAATCAATTAGAAAACCATGCACTGTTCATATCCATGGAGAGATGGCATGCGTGCTCCTCTTCAATCGACTTCATCCCTTCTCACACCGGCTCACGAGAACATCCATTTGCTTATTATCGCTTTTTCTCTCTTATCTGTGCTACTGTGCACTGTTCCCTGCCGATACCATCATGCACAAGTCAGGTGATCCGACACCCAGCTGTCAGCGCGTCCTGGCCGATGGAGCCAAAAGGCGCATTCAGAAAACACCTTCATGCGTTTTGCCTTTGGATGCGAGACCGATCAACGTCGAGATTTCTCGGCTGAAATCCGACCAAAGACCTCCGTCAATTCTCCACATCGACACCCCCAGTCCTCCCATGGGTAACTTAAAGTTTGGGAATAAAAAGTTACCAAACGCTATTATTGTTGGTGTGAAAAAGGGAGGCACCAGAGCTGTCCTGGAGTTCATAAGGATTCATCCGGACGTGCGAGCAGCTGGCACCGAGACACACTTCTTCGACCGGAACTATGACAGAGGTCTGGAGTGGTACAGGTAAGAGCATGACCCACCTGCACAGGTAGCGTAGCTATGTATCTGTAAAATAATCTTCTAAGGGATAACCTGAAAATGGCACCACTTTAACTGTGTGAGCCAAGAATTCAAATATGTGATCAATTGCAAAACTTAAAAGAAAATTACACCCTTCACTGTTTTGCAGTCTGTAAGAGGTGTGAAAAATGATCAGCTTCAATTTGACTTTTAATTTGGCTGGTGCCTTCAAAGACTCATGGGAACGTCTGGACATTTAGTGCTGATGGTCAGCTGTCTGTATCTCAAAATTAATGTATCTGCTCATGCCTGGCCTCCATAGCTTAACTGAGTAATTATTACATCAAATAATGTCAAATGAGGATGATGATAAAAATTATGAAGATATTTCATAAATACAGGAGTTTTTACATTTCAATGTGAAGTGACTTTAGATGGGAGTTAAACCATAGTATGTATTTTAATTTGTATTATTTTAGAGGATGTTTCCTAATAAAATACTTCACATAATTAAAAAGAATAGCCACATCTGACATAAATGGTCTGCCAGTTATTGTTGTGTAAGTGCCTCTGAAAATGATGTCCAAATCAAGTCAGCTGCTTTCTGTTCAAATCTGCCATTTCCTTTCTCTCTTCCCTTGGTGTTTTTACATTATGTTGTGCGGTGGGCAAACATGCTTTATGTGTTTTCTGCAGTCTCTCGACTCATTTCGTCTTTTGTTGCGGGAAAGGTTATGAGCTCTGTTTACTTGTTTGGATTTATCGTATAGCAATTTATCAGATTTCTCCCAACAACAACAAAAAAGTCAGGGCTCTTGAGGCAAACAGTGTAAACTGCGACATGCGGGCCTTCTGTTGCTGGCAGGCCCCTGAGCTATTGTCTTGTTTGTATTTAGCAATTAAACTAATCTCAATGAATATAAAATGAAAGGATTTGTTTTCTAAAATGCTACATGAAGCATTGATAACCATCTGCAACTAATTACGAGAGTTTCTATATAATGTACACGGTATCCCATACATGAAACACCTGCATCGTTATTTGAACTGCTAATTACAGATGTATCCAGAAATGCTATAATTTAGTGATGAAATATCATGCGTACACGCTGACAACAAATCATGCTCAAACACACTCATGTTAATGATCAGCTGTCATGCAGCCTGCAGGAGGGATGTGTTTCAGCAGTTTTATAAAAATAATTATGAAATGAAATTACCTCCGCTAATTGGCGTTCTTCAGTGTGGTGAGCGGCTGAAGACCTTTTTATCTCAGATATGTGTCTCGGAGTCGTAAACCCTTCGCCTATTACAGCACTTCGATTGTCAGCTGTCAAAGCTGGTGTGAAAAAGGTCAAATGCCAACGCACCGACTTTGAGTATTGATTTCAAAACAAACAGAAGCTTCTCAAGAAACTCTGATACAACACTCACCAATAAAGGCCGTACACTGTTGATATAGAAATGTAAAGATATGCAATACTGACACAAGTTAAAGCAGCAATTCAGTTATTTTAGTGGTGATTTTGGACCACAACATCTGCACCCTTTTTAGTCTGTGCCCTATGGTCTCTGATGTTCATTTTCCAGCTATACTACAGTATCATCTGGCTGGTGTACTTACCAAATCTCCATCTAATTAAAGAGACCCTGGTATGCTTTTTGGGGTTTCCCATTCCTCTGGTGTGTTATATAGGTTTCTGTGCATGTAAATGGTCTGCAAAGGCTAAAATCCCAAAGTTCCCACTAGGGTTAGGGTTAGATAGATGATGGAGTTTCTCTTTCAAACACTTGCCTGAAACGCCTCCATTGCAATCCTTTGTTTACTTCAGTAACATAGTGACATCACTATGTTAACACTCACGCTTCTATTCGCTAGCGCTCCAACTCATTGCACGTGATAGGCTAATGGGCGGGACATCTCTAAGCGGTTGACCAATCACAACAGAGCTGGCCAGCTAACCATTCAGAGCAGACTGGGCTCTGGTTTCAGACAGAGGGTGAAAAGAGTTGCTGCAGCACAGGCACTATGAGAAAAATAAAGACCTTATTGAACATTAAAGCATGTAAACATGTCACTGTAGAGGCACAGAATACAAATATGAACCTGAGAATTAGCATGATAGGGCCCCTTTAATGACACTTTGTGTAGGGATGTAACATTTCTGAAATGGGGCCAACTTGAGTTCCTTGAAAATCGTAATGAAGATTTTTAACCCCTTTTCTAATGCTATGTAGACCAATGATAAACCAGTTAAATTAAGGAATACTCTTTTCCTGCAGCTCTATAGGCTCCATTTTAACTCTGTCCTTGATCTGTGATGGTTTCCGATCAAACTTCAAACTCTTACTCAAAGGTTTATCTGTTTAATTCATCACTTTCAAAGACGACAATGGCCTAGTTTGGAGACCCAGAAGCAACAGAGTCACTGTGCTATGTGTTCTGTTTGCGTTCACAGTGATTTATTACTCTTGCGTGGCCGCGCTGACGAGCAGGAGAGCTGTCTGCAAGACAATTCTCCCGTGACAACAGACTACATGACTTTGTCTCCTATTATAATTTACATCAAGAAACTAGGTTCATGGCCAAGCTCGAGCTTCTCAGCTCTCGATTGTATGCCATGCATCTCACTTGTTTAATCCTGCCCTAAATAATAGAACAAATGCACACTTTTCCTTCAAACTGACTGAATGCAAGGACGTCCTGTCCTCTGTGTCTGAATCTGTTAGCCTTTGTAGGAGTGTGAGCATTTTAAAACAGCAAGAAAATGTCAGCAAAATACACTTAATGTGAATGTAAATAAGAAACCTTTCTCTTTCAGGAATGTTTACTTTGTGTTTTCATCTTTCATTCAGAGGTTTAATGCCAAGGACTCTTGAAAGCCAAATCACAATGGAGAAGACACCGAGCTACTTTGTGACAAAGGAGACGCCGCACCGGATCTCCGCCATGTCCCGGGACACCAAGCTCATCGTGGTGGTGCGGGACCCCGTCACCCGTGCAATATCAGACTACACTCAGACTTTGACCAAATCTCCCGACCTGCCGAGCTTCCAGGACCTGGCCTTCAGGAACCAGAGCCTGGGCATTGTGGACACATCGTGGAACGCCATTCGCATCGGCCTGTACGCTCTGCACCTCGAAAACTGGCTCCGCTACTTCCCTCTGGCTCAGATCCACTTTGTGAGTGGGGAGCGTCTTATCACAGACCCTGCAGGGGAGTTGGCACGAGTGCAAGACTTCCTTGGGTTAAAGCGCATTGTCACAGACAAACACTTCTACTTCAACCGCACCAAGGGCTTCCCCTGCCTGAAGAAGCCGGAGAGCAGCGGCTCGCCTCGCTGCCTGGGCAAGTCCAAGGGCAGGACTCATGTGCAGATAGACAGAGATGCTATTGAGCAGCTGCGGGACTTCTATAGACCTTACAACATTAAGTTTTATGAAATGGTGGGTCATGACTTCAAGTGGGAGTAGAGGTTGGAGTGATATTTTTAAATGGAAGGAGAAAGATTTATGTATTTCACAAATTCAAAAATAGGATGCCTGCATTGATATTACATGGCTAAGGCGAATAGAGAAATATCAGCACTCTCCTGAAATGTTAAGAGTGAAACTGAAAAGCAGTACTATTTTTCAAAGTGAGACGTAATAAATATAGGAATATCTACGACGACATTGCTTTTGCACTTGTGATGATCAGTTACCAGCCAGCGTCAACATCCTCCCAAATATAGCCCTCATTTCAGCTTCAGGATCACAGCATTTCTTTTCCTGCATTATTGCTGACTAGATCCCCCATTTGCTGACTGGTTTATAAAAAAAAGGACATTCCAGGGAATGGGATTAGTTCTTCTTAAAACCTGCTTCACTAATCAAGGCAGGGCTTGAAAGCAAGACCTTGGGAAATGTCAGCAAAGTCTTCAGGGAGAGGAGAAATAAGCTGCAGCACTGTGGTGGTAAATCTGAAATGTAAAGCCATAACGCAAGTGGGAGTCATCTAATATCACTTACTGTTGGTCTCATCAGTTTCTATACAGAGGGGAAGGGTTTCTGTCTCCTTATTTCCAGCATGAATCCTGTAAGTTAGTACATGCAGCGCTTCACTTTGTTCTCTGTGCTTTATTTGCCAAATCCATGTTTATATTTTTGTTACCAAAGTACTTAATCACATGCCTTAGCCACAATGCTTGTCCATGAACCTAATTAAAAGAAACAGAAGCACAAATATATTTTGGACATTTATTTCTGTCTCCTCTGAACCATTTATCTTAATGTTGTTCAATGCCTGAGTGCAAAGCTAAGAAAAACTTCTGATTCTGTACAGTACCTTCCTGTTCTTGTCAGTGAAATGTGTGCTTTTGAACAGATAACACAACTTACATCCTTCCCCTGTGGTGGGACTGAAAACATACTTCTGTAAGGTTTTGTTGTGAGCTTCAGTCGTGGTATGCGGACGAGTGGGCGTTGGTGTAAGGAATTTCAATCGCTTTTCAGAGACAAAGCAGGGTACACCTAGCTGTGGCAGGTTCTCAAATGCATTCTGGGACTGCATATCACATGATTGTGCTGGAAATGTTGGGTTTGGCTGCACGGTATGAATACTAAAGCCTGAGTTGAAGCCAGACTCTGAAACAATGTTAAAACAAAGAGGAAATTACCTTATGAAACATAAACTGGGTTCAAAGAGATTATCTTATTATCATCAGTCACTCAATTTCCACATCACACATTATGATGTTACAGGTAAAGCTTTTGATCACACTTTAAATGTATACTTGAAACTAAATGGAAATTATTGAGTTTACAAGGTATCAATACCTATATTTAAGTACTATGGGGAATAGGTGTGCTCAAAGAGAAATTAGAAATAAGTGACACTATTTATGTCTTTATTCATTTATTTAGTGAGTACGGGAATGTGGCAAGGCATGAGAAAGGACTATTTATAGATAGATTATACATATATCTTTTAAACTAGCAATCTAGGGGAAACGTGTTTCTCAAATATGGATTATTTATGTCAGTATGATCTTGGAATAATGATAAAATACACGGGGTACAGTGTTACCGTCAGTAATAATATTGTGGCAAACTCTTCATAAATACATGTGATGTACCTGAATAAGGAATATGACTCGAGGTACAAGGGAAACCATGGGGAATAGGTGTGCTCAAAGAGAAATGAGAAATAAGTGACACTGAGTGACACTATTTATTTGAAATAAGTGACACTATTTATGTCTTTATTCATTTATTTAGTGTGTACGGGAATGTGACAAGGCATGAGAAAGGACTATTTATAGATAGATTATATATATTTTATTTAAACTAGCAATAGAAAAACGGGTTTCTCAAGTATGGATTGTTTTTATGTCAGTATGATCTTGGAATAATGATAAGATACACGGGGTACAGTGTTACCGTCAGTAATACTATTGTGGCAAACTCTGAATAAGGAATATGACTGGAGGTTATGGGCAAATATTGTTTGGCAAGGCATTGAGAAATTGGGATGTAAATTAAAAGTATTTCTGCAATAATAGGCTGTAAATTAAAAAGAAGACTTTGAATGTAAGGTTAGTTGGAGGCTGTCTACTTCTTCCCTTGAACACATCAGTAGTATTTCACAGGAACCCTGTTAGAGCTATGCAATAATTATTAAATCAATATCCTAAAATGTAGATCCACAAGCAAACACATCGACAGTGCATATAGACTTGTGAGGATTCACTGAGGTACAGAATACAGAGCAGCAGAGACTTACTCAGCATGTTAATGTGTATCTCAAGTATTAGAAGTTAGAACATTGAACTATGAGTTTCCTCAACTAATAAGATTCATTAATAATGATTTGGCTCTCCGTGAAATGTAGGACATGTTGGTCCTCGCTGTTATCTTCCCACCTCAGAAGTCTAGTACTTTTCATCTGTTTGAATACTTCTTCATCTGAAGCCTTACTGAAATGTGCATGTAACAGAGTGTGCTTTGAAGATTTCTCTGTGTTTGACATAGAAATACTGAAAGTGGAGCCGGGGAGGCTTAAACCCTGCTTTTGTTTTTACTCCGCTATATTTTCAAACTCTCCGTCTCCTTCCTCATCTCTTGCATCTACTGCAAATGCTCACATTGTTAAGAGAAGAATCCTGAAAGGCGCTCCGCTCAGTGACCCCCTCACAGCACAGACGTCTGCTCTCTCTCTCTCTCTCCCCGTTCCAACATTCATTAAACTCACAGGACCCTTCAGGTGGGGGCGTGCAGTCAGTACGGCTGCACCACCTCTGATGCCCTGCTTGTCATCATCATGCCGGCCAGCAGCTCATTTATGGGGCTTTTTTAGAGCCAGCGCAGGTGAGCGTCTATCCAGTCGTCACGAGAGCTGCATCTCTCTCTCGATGGTACACATGGGTCCTCATTAGGCCTTAGGGCCGGCGAGGAGCAATCCCGGAGAACAAGCAGCAGCCAGACTCTGATTAGATTCTGCTGGTGAACGGCTCTCCAGAGATTGTGCAGGTCAAAACTCTCTTTTTTTCTCTCCTCGCACACACTCAGCTTCCTTTTCAAATATGAATTCCCTCAGGAAGCAGCCCATGCAAATCATCAAATCCCTTGCATTTCCGAGCACCATGACTTGACCTATTTGCACTGCTGCTAATGAGGTGCTTGTTAAGCTTAATGAGTATTTGTTAAAGCTGATGTGTGAATATCGTGTTGATTATGAAACATTATGACTACATTTCCCTATTAATTTTGATTGTGTTGAATGTTTGGATTCTTTCCTATACAGAACAATTGACATGATTTGATCCCTGTGGAGCAGCCTGGTCATTATTTAATGCTGAAAAGACTTGGAGGAGCTGAATGGATCAATATTATGGTGAACTGTTCATAAGCGCTAGTTTTTGCTGAGACTAATAATAAGCCTTCAAGGACAGGAGCAGACACATATTGTTCTTTTTTTATCCTGCAGAGTCCTTAGAGAGTTTTAGAAAGAGGCTTAGAGCTCGCCTGATAATGATTTCTGAACATTGTGATCTGATATTGATTAATACTTGAAGCAGCAATATATTTTTTTTAACTGTAGGGGTGAGGTTGAAAATCCAAATAGATAACTTCAACTTTTCTTTGAAACATTAAGAAATAAGTTGAATCCAGCACGTGGGTTGGAGAGAAACTTTAAATGTTTAAATGTCATGCTGATGTACATCACATAATGTAGTTCACTCACAGGCTCCCTGTTGGTTAATGTAGCTACAAACATCCACTCTTTTGGATTTTGAATGAAGTGAGATAGTTGCAGCATTGGATTATCAAAAAGTAATCTTTCCTTGAAATGTCAGTAATGCAGTCAGATTTATATATAATAATGCAATAACAAGTTCTAATGCATGCCAACAGGGAAGTGCATTTTACAAGCATGGTCTATTTTAGACGCACCAAATTAAAATAGTTGGCACAGCTTTCCTTGTCCTTTTGCCCGGGAATTTCATATGAGATAGAATGAGGTTTCCTGGTATCCGAGGGAGACAGCAGCTGACACTGCAGGCACAGATTCAGCAGTGCACCTCGTTCAGTCCTAATGCTTCAGAATAGTTTAACTTCTGCAGCCGACAGGATGTCCCAGTGGTTGAAATCACCAGTGGCTTAGGAACCAAATTAAAACCAAGTGCTGACAACTGTGGCACAGTCTCAAGAACGTAATGATACATGTTCTACAACTATTTGCAGACCTGTGTAGAATCCGTGGTCTGTCGGGATGACACTTGGAGGAAAAGGAAGTGGAGAAGAAACTAAAGTTTTAAAAGTCACTTATATGCAAAATATACTTTTTCATGTATTTTATACATAAGTGTCTCCTCTCAGTGGAGATTCAGAAAGTTTCAGGAAAAAATATTCTCTCCCCCATGTCCTGATCCATTTATATTAAAATCCCCTAAAAAAGAAGATGATCAGATGTTGGCCACTTTGTGATGTCACAATGTTTTTTGGGGATTTGTGCAACCATTAGCCAATAACCAACCAAGGTAACACCCCCCACCTTATCACAGAAATCTCCTCCTAGAGCATCATTGTGTATTTTTAAACCAAACACTTCTCAGAGGGGCGTGAGGGGTGGCAGTTAATTTGCATTTAAACCTACCGGCACATAATCAGCATCTTTGAAACAGAGCTGAAACAGAGGGGATTATGGGATGCTACAACGCATTATCTGTTTGGTATTTAGAGCCAAACCCTTCAGAGACATGTCTTGTTTATATCTGAGACCTATAATATATTGTTGCAAAAGACTATAATAGTGGACCTTTAATCGAAATGTATTTCTAAATGTTACCATGTCATTGGCCAGTGAAAACGCACGATAAATATTTTTTTCATTTGCATTCAGATCCTCTCATCTCTGTTACACATCAACAGCCGCCTGCCCACCCCTTTTTAACTCGTCTTCAGCAGAGAGTGAGAGGACGTCGACAGAAATGTGAGATTTTTGTTGGCCACGTGCCCTTTCAAGATTCAGATCTGTGAAATCCTGCAAAGTCCTCCAAATTAGAAACAGTTGTTCAGTGCCATCTCCCCGTTGTTGCATCCGTTTGTCAGACGAGCGGGAGTCTGTTTTCTGTGCATGGAGCGGCTAAAGTGAGGTAGAAAGCTGATTAGATTGAAGCAGTAGTCAGACCTCAGCGTCTCTCTCACCAGGAGATGTGTTCTAATTAGAGTGTATGCCTCATGTCTCACTGAGGAGAATAACAAGCCTCGTCCCAAGGCTGCCTCCAGATGAACCTCACATCCACAGCAAAACAAAAACACATCTGATGCATCAGCAACCCCTGGACTCCACCGCACACCTGACTCGACATACGGCGCATTAGGATTTTGATGTGGGTTTACATCTTGTGGCACTGCTCTCCAAGCAGGAGGCCTCGCAGAGTGGAGCAACAATGAGGGGGGGCTGCTCTGCCTCCTGTTATAATGGTCTTCCAGGCTTTCAAACCCTAATCATTAGCAAACCAATGGAAATGATATCAGTAGAGCAGCCATATGTACAGTATGCTGCATTTTTACCGCTAGGAAGGGGTGTTTTTTCAACATATGGAGCAGTCTAGAAGGAGGGACAAACTGAACGTGGAAGGCATTCTGGGGGAAGTGATTATGGGATGATCCTGCATAAGCCTGCTCCAATGTGTGAAGCTATTTTAAATTACATGTCAGTCTTGGTTTGTGGTGCAAATTCATTGACACATATAGGGTAATACAGATTGTTGTACGGCAGACAAGTTAGATATGAAAGCTAATTTATGTTGAAATTACTCCTCAAATGTTGTGACGAAGATTACATCTGACCATTTTGGATGTAGTAAGAATTTGTGATGAGTAAATAATAATTTTGTTTTTGTGCAGAATTAAAATGTCTTTAAAGCTGATCAAATAGTTGCGTAATGTTGCTTTTAGCTGCTAGACTTACATTTTCCTGTACATATATTAAAGCAAAGTTTGATTCATTAAGTATTGATGGGTCTTTTAGTCAGTCTAAGTTATTAAGGCAATATCATCTTTAGAACTAGAAATAATGCTGCAGTGATTCACTTCACAGAAATCTAAATTGTATTCTATCAGACAATAAATTCTTTGTTGTGCCCGTAAACATCAATGAACAAACACTCACACACACACTCTCACACAGTGGAGGATGGTCCTACCTCCCTAGGCGGCTTGTCTCAGATTGGATGTCAGATGCTGGAGACAGCTGCACTCATCACAGCTTTTATGAATACATTACCTTTTATGTTCATCCAAACACTGATTTATCAGCTTCAGAAAATCAAACAGGACAGAAATTCACTCAGCAGATCCAGAAACTGTGTTGTGTGTATAACAAATATCTGCGGCTAAAATAACTGCAAATCTTTCAGCTTGCCGGCAATTCAACCCTCATCTCTGACAGAGTGTGTGTGCAGATGTTGTGCCTGCATTTTTATTTTTATTTTTTAGCAAAGATGGCTTATGAAATATCAAAGTGTTTTATTTGCCTCTATAAAATTCAAGAACATCAAAGACTCCCCCACCCTCTCCCACAAGATCCCAAGAATCTTCAAGTTTTTTTTTACCCTTGCAGCCTCGTCTGTCTTCCATCTCAGCATTTGCTCAAAAAGGCAAGAGCCTCTAATGATACAAAATACAAGATGGAGAGACTTCTGCCAACAAATGGGCAGAGAGAAAAAAAAACATTTTGGGCGATGATTGACATCCCTGCATCTTTTTATTATTCCTGTGATGTTCGTCCAGACACTCATGCCAGAAACTGTGGCCTCACACTTTGGCTGATGCAGCAATCTGGTGATATGCGTCTCTCATTCCTGCCAACCACCTGGCTGGAAGAAGCATAATCAACCTCGCAGTCAATCACTCCTAGCACAGCCGATGGTGTAGGATGAGTGTCAGAGGAAGCGTGGCAGACATGCGCTGGCTGTATGTCCAACTTTGACACTTCACACCTTGCTCTCTAGAATTCTGATGAGTCCTCTGTTTTGGCAATGCCTTGGGATTTCAGCTACCCACTGTGCATTATGTAGCAGAAATGAATGTGCAGAAAGGGGGAGAAAAATGGTTGCTGGGATTCAGGCTTTTTATAGGTTATATCCTCTGCTATCTTGAGCAAGAACAGCACATAGTTGCTTAAAATGTCAGTGAATTAATTAATCAAAGCAGTGAAGTTAACATTATGTTATTATTAAAATGGCAAAGGTTGGTATGATGCTTGGAGGTCACATCTTCAATTATGGTTCTGTTGCATAAAAAATGGCTTTTGTGACCACAAATGCATCCTGAAGGATACACGGACTAATCCCAAGAGTTCATGTGAGTTGCTTTAAACAACAGTACAGTCTTCTTGGGTGTTAAAGTAGTTTTCAGGGTACCACTCTCCGCTCGGGGTTGCGTAATTCAGCCGTGGATGTCCCACATGACACATCATGTATATTTCATTGCCTAAAAAGCAGCTCTTTCTCCTGCTGCACTCAAAGCTCGCTAGATATTTCATCTCCAATTATAAGGGAGCTAAAGCACTGCATCACTGGACTCAAGAGAAGAGAAATAATTGACAAGCTCGCTGCTGAAACAAATGAATAATTGAAATTGTTTTTAATTTGGCAGAGAGAAAAAAAAGTCTCACTTCGAGAATACATGTTGTTAGGTTGTTGCTTTGTGTGATGCAAATGGTTCCCTCTACAAATATTAGAGAAATAAATAAAAAATCTGAGAGTGGCTGACAAGAGGAACATGGGAAATAATGATAGAAATCTGGGGATCACAGAGGAAGGTATGATATATTCCTAACAATTTTCAGTTTTTTTCAGTAGGGTATCTATAGAGGAAGCTATTAGTTGCAGGAAATATTCAAGGCACATTAGTGGACAGGAAGGACTCTAAACTAACTAGAAATTGCAGCTGGACAACTTTCAACTGGAGCAGATCTGCTGAGGAAGACAAAAAAACTAACAACCCCGCCATTGGTTTTCAGATGCTCAAATCACTCAAATTCACTCCGGTGCCTTAATATTAATAATATACTAGGCTACTGTAGATTTGTAAGTGTTAACAATCCTGTTGATAAAACAGTTAATACAAACGCAGTTAATGCAATAAATGTTCAACAGAATTGTTTTCAGGGATGAAATAACATTGTGTTTTTTGTGGCAATTTGGCTCTGGCTTACAGTAGGGGCCTACATTAGAAATTCGGCCTACTGTATGGAATAATGTCAACACTACTGTAAAATGTTGTGCACACTAGGAAAAGAGAAGAAGGGTTACAAAGTCAACAACAGACATACTGGGAAATGTCTGTTATACTGCAAAGTCTTTCTAAATGTAGCTAATGTTAGCTAACATTAGCTACGTTAGCTAACATTAGCTACCGTTAGCTACCGTTAGCTATAGGGGTCATACCAGACCAAGTAGGCTAAGGCTGTAGCAGTAAACTCCTTGTTAACACGTATAAACATTTCCTTTGTAAGAGGATTAATGTATATTCTTGCTTTAAGATATTGTCATTTGTTTTATGTTGCTTTTTTCATTTTGAGAAAATGACAGAATCAAATGGCAATAGGTGAATGCCATAATCTTATTTTGTTTTCTACTGTAAAAGTTAAGAAATATTTTGTGACTTTAAAGGCTTTTTTTCTGTAATAAGCACTTCAAAACACTCTCTGATCCAAAAATAGGCCTACCAACATTTCAGATTTGATGAATGCTGCTGCTACCCCCTGTAGTTTTCTACTGATGTGTAAGTTTGGCACATTTTCTCTTGGGTTTTTTCGCAGATCTGTAAATGTCCAAGACTCCTTTGGGTTTTCAGTATAACTTCGCAATATAAAAATACCAGAGTGATACACAAAATCATATAAATTGCTGTTGCTGAAGCATACAATTCAATCAGTTTGTTAATTTATCGTAGTGACAGTTAATTAACTTCATGGTATCGTAACCATTTTTTGGAGGTTTCCGAATATATAAAATATACTGCAATAGAGTATACTCTTACAGTATGTTATTTATTTGAATGTAAAACAATGACATACAACATTACCATTATATTGATCAAAACAATTATCCCAAAGGGTCCAATTCACAGTTTTGCAGCATTATTGTATTATATTGTTTAAGTGTTCTTTTATAGTTTTGTATCCCTTTGTTTCCACCCTCTGCATTTACCCCAGTAGTCAATGCATCAATTCATTCTAACAGCATGCACTGAAAAAGTGAAAGCTATCACAAAGGTCCTCCTCACAGTCTCCTTCTATCCAGGGACAAAGTGTCTCAAAATGGAGACTTTGCAGCATTGCTAAGGATCGAATTTGGCCACAGGAGAAACCAAGATTAGATTGATCAATACGATTAGATTGCCTTTCTACAATGCACAGAGCACATTCATGTAGCAAAATATGTAAGCCAATTGGGCAGGTTTGATGCATTATGTTCAGCATTTAGAAAGGGTAATGTCACGGTTTGTGTGTAAAATTCAGATACAATTCTCCACTGACTTCTTGCTAATGATGTTCTCCTTGAACTGATACAATTGGCAAATGATTATTGATGTCAGCACTAGAGGAGTCTGGCTCCTTTACAGATAGATATTGTGCCGGTTTGCAGTCTGCAAGTTTTCTAATTACATTCGTACATGCATATTAATTGAACAACTTCACACTTTCCTGTAGGATACGAGACAAAATGTTAATTAGTGGTAAGCTGTAAAACACAGAGCTGTTCCTGCAGCATGTGAAGAGAAACATGTTGCAGCTCCATCGCACCACAGGCCATTTGAAAAAATGTCATCACTTCTCAGACTGCACAAGAGGAGAGAATTGAGAGAGGTGAAAAAGCAATTCCCAAAACTGATGACTGTTATACAAAATTACAAGAATAGAAAGACAAAGAGGCAGCATTAACTCTTAATACGCAGCCTTCGGCCAAACTAATAAAACCACAATTGAATCAGCTCTAAATAAATGATGGCGCTGTAGTTTAATAGCATATCATCTGCCTCGCTGACAGCATTGGATATGGCGCTGCTATATGTCTTAGTAATCCCACAAGTTGCAATCCAAGGGCATTTCTCTGAAACAAATTCACATTAAGTGTTGCTTTATTTCCCTCACTCATAACATTTGTGTCGACTGAGGTTTTAAAGCAAACACTGAGCTCCACCCAGTGGAGAAAATGAGAACTGTAAAGATGCACAAACTACATTTAAACCAAATAATCCAAAACTACAGTTGTCAACAAATGTTACTTATTGACATTATTTTATTTTTGTTCTCGCATTGGTAAATCAATGACAACACACTGCTACTCAACAGAAAGATGAAAACATTACATGTAAACATTGCATTATATTACAGAACATGAATTGAAAAATAAAATAATTCTCATGCGTTTGTGAAAATAAACCATTCCTCTAAGCATGTTGTTGTATTCATACATCCTTATCGTTTCAACACTCCCTTATTGTTGTTGTGGCAGTTGGTTTACATACTGCATGTGTTAGATGTAATAGCACAGTAATAACACACTGCAGCCACCAGGCACTAAAGATAATTCTGCACCATGTGCCAGATAGTGGTTTGTTGGTTACTGATAAACACTCCTCCATTGTGACACTGACATTCAGTTCATCTATAATTCTGGAGTAAATAATAACAATTTTCTTATAAATGTGTTTCTTGGTGGGATTCTTCCTTACAAAATCAGCTATCTCTCACAGTGAAAAATGTACAGTGTTCTGTCTTTTGAGACAGGCTTGAGATGATATCGTACAATGACTTTTCTTAAAAACAATATAAAGATATTGCACACCATTATTTTTTGTGAGCGTTCTTAATAAAGTTTGAGTTCAGCATCTTGTCTGAAACGGTCCCGGCCTAACCTCTTAAAACGTTTAGATGTAGAGGCAGAAACCAAGCCTGTTCTCAGCTCTTTTATAAAACACTACTGTAATCAAATAAGATCCCGAACACCTCACACTACAGCAGACGATGAATGAAAGTCACAACTGCAGCTTTTTGTTGCCATGTAAAAAAAATCTCCCGTTAAAAGTCACTTTAGTTTGAAAACCGTGAGACAAATGAATACAATACAGAAAACATTCATTTGCAAGTGAGTTGATTTACTTTGAGAGGGTGAATGAGCAATACTTATCATTCATACAAAATGTATATTACTTTGAATAAATGTGCAAACAAAGCTTTAATAAAGGATGCCTTAACATGCTCTGATGCTGGCATTTGGAAAAATATACAGTTAGAAATATATACACATCCAAGAGTAGCACTCCTACATACTCAGTGTGGGCATTAGCAAGAATCTGCTTGCATAGTTAAGTGCATGCATAAGCAATTTATCATGCAACACCTGTCATATAATTCATGAGCGGTGATCTCTTTTATGTCAGTGCGTTCAGTGTTGATCTACTCTGCGATGGAAGCTAAAGATGTGCACAAGCTGTGATGTCACATGTGAAGACGGGCTGACTCAAACATACCATAATGCTCTATGTACATGTACGGTGGTTTCAACCAAGGCATCCCAGCTGTCTTTAAATATGTGCGCGTATAGTGGCTTTTTTTATTTGTTTTACATTAACCCTGTGTTCATCTGAGAGGAATGTTTGGAGATGTCTGGCAGTCTGAAGAGTTTGATCCCCATGAGGGCACCGCGGCTAAGTGTTGGCATCAGCAGCTGGAGGGCAGAGGTGGTGACGGGCGGAGGTTGTCTGAGGGGTAACAGGTCATTTACTGGTAAATAAAACACAAAACATTTAAGAAATGTTACAAAGCAACGTCTCCAGACATTAAACAACACATGCTTCGTTCCCCCGCCCCCCCCCGCCCCCCCCTCCCCCTTCGGGCCTCTCCTTCCTGCAAAAATACTTCTTAAAGGCTGTTGCACAATAACTACATCCAGGAGCATATGTAAACAGCGGTTCAGGTTAAATAGGCTAAATTGTGTTCGACTTGAAATTACATTTTCAGTGATTAATAAATATTAAAATTGAATTTACCAACACCTGCAGTTATACATTTCAGATTAAATACTTTGATTATCTGAGGCACTGATGTTTGTCGACATGTGGCTCTCAATACTGAGGGAGAGAGCTGTACATAAAGATTTTTGGAAATATTTCTCTGAATCAGCATGTTAAAAATTGCCAGTAAACTTCCTTTGGTGACTGAGTTGTCCGTGTTTGCTCAACATTTTCCTTCCACCATTATATCCGCTTTCGTGTGCAAAGTCACTTTTATTTTCCACCCCCTACCGAGATGCACTTCTCCTGACTATGCTACAGACAGAACAAGGCAATAATTTCAATACATGTGCAGTCCATGCTTATTTACAATACAGTATATATTCCTCAAAATCAATGCAATCCATACAAAGTGCTTTGTTAAAATCCATTCCTAAATAACTATTTAACAATGTGTCCGGTATGGCAGCTGGTATTCAGTAACCACTGAAAAGCTACAGGTGCTTTAAAGATGTTTGTCAGACGTTGATGGTTAAAACACCTCAGAGCTGCACGAGAGAGATTGTTATCAGGCCTTTAAACTATCGTCACTTGGCCTTCTGTTGTGAACTGATTGGGATCTTCCTGGACTGCATTGCCTTTTTAACCGGCTCTTTCTTTGTCGGCTCTTTCTTTGTCGGGTCTTTTGCATTGGTTGAGGACTGGGTGGTTGTTTCTGCTCCGGATAGCTTGGACTTGGTGGAGGGCAGCAGTGAATGCTTAGCTGCAGCCTTGGAGGACTCCTTGTCTTTGGCTGTGGTCACATTATTGGGGGTCTCTGAAGCCCCGTTCTGGGCTTTCTTGCTTGCCCCGTGTGGGATTCCCTCCCGAGCTGCGTCCCCACCTCCATCCTCTGGACTCGCTTTAGCGTCACCCACCCCTGCTTTCCCACCATCTGCTGACTTACGGGTCTCTTTGGGCCTCAGGGCCGTTTTAAAGAAGGACAAGCCTTTATCCTCGGTCTTACTGTTCCTTTGAGGCCCTCTTGATGGCGGGCCAGTGGAGGTCACACCCACACTCGAGGAGCGGAGACTGGCCATGGAGGAGCTGCTGCTGGAGCTACGCCCCGCCGCCCGGTTCTCCACCGCCCGGCCCGGCCTAGCCTCCGCTCTGTTAGCAGTGCTCGACCTGGAGGGAGGCGCCCCGTGGTTGACCTTCTTTTCTGCGTTAGTCCTTGAGGATTCGCGGCTAGCGCTCCTCTCTGCTGCTTTAGTCCTTCCTGAGGCTGAGCTTTTCTCCCCTCTGGGTGATGTCCTCCTCTGAGGGTGTGAGCTTTGTGTTCCCGGAGAACCACTCTTCCTCTGTTGGGCAGAGTCGGGATGTAAAACCTCCGGGGTTGTGGATGACCCCTTCTTGGAGGGGGTCGCTGTTCTCGAGGAACCGGCCTTGCTAGTTTTAGGCGGCCCGTCGCTTTTGTCCTTCGGTGTTGCTGCTGAAGCCGCACTCTTGGTCTGCGTTCGAGACGGCAGCTTGTCAACAGCGGGGGAGGCGGGGGACATAGAGCTGGAGGACGTTGAGGAGGTGGCAGGACGCTTTTTGGGACTGGCTGAAGTCCTTTTAACACCAGCGCTATCTGCAGCCCCACTTCTGGGTTTCGCATCCTTTGCAGCGGCCCCGTGTCGAGGACTGATCTGTTCGGAGGCAGTGACCACGTTGCTGTTCTCCCCAGCCTGGGTGGAGCTCCTCTGCTCCGCCTGCGCCACTGCCTTGGAGTGAACCTGCTCTATCAGCCTCTTACTGCCTGCATTATCATCCACAGCAGCCAGGGCCGACTTGCCCCCAGGGGCTCGGTCAGGTTTAGGGGACCCCGTGAAGTAGGAGGCGGTGTCAGCCACCTCTCCGATCCTCTCCAGAGTCGGGGAGGAGGAGTGGGACTCCAGGGAGAAGCGCGACGGAGAGTTGGAGCGGAGTTGGAGCTTAGCGGAGTGGGACCAGGACGGTTTAGTGCAATTTTCACTTAGCACCAGTGGGCTGGCAATGGAAGATCTTGAGGAGAAAGTTTGTCTTTGCATGCCTCTTACTGCCGGCCGGCTCGATAAGCCTGCAAGGTAGAAAGATATGCATCCATGTAAGTAAATATTTATATTTGTAACCTTTGAAGTAGGGCTGGGCAAACAATCAATATTATATTGGAATGGTGAAACGAGAATGGATGTCATCTTAGATTGCGTAGATCATGTCTTTTTACAGTTCTCAATGCTGCTTTCAGTGTTGTATTTTTCTGCAATAATAATGATTTGCCTTTGCCCATTAAGTCATATAGTAAGTAGTAAACCCTAAAACATTGTCACAATACTGATCTATTTGGTCAAAAACCATCATGATCTTTGATTTTATTCATATTGCCAACCCCTATTCTGTAGCATTTAAATCAAGTCTGAAATGTGTGCGCGTGCGTGTGTGTGCGTGCGTGCGTGCGTGTGTGTATTTGGATGAGTCTGTATCACCATCATCTTCGCTCCGTTCAGCAGTGAACTCGGCTGACTCGGAGAGGGACGCCAGCGAGGTGCGCCTGGAGGACCCGGAGGAGGCCTGGCTGGGGGGGCGGCTGCCCATCAGACGGCTGATCCAGTGCTCACACAGAGAGGAGCTGGTGGATCCTAAAGTCCCAAACAGACAGCAGTTTAACATGTAGAATGTATTTAAATTAGACCCTCCAGAAAAACGCGATTATGCGAGCGCAGAATTTACCGCATAATCAGCAAAATGGCGCAGATTTTTAAAAGGGCGCATAATCCCCGCATTTTTCCACACAAAGTTGAGGGAAAAAAAAGTTAACTCGTATTGACGTGAAGTAGTGATGATGATGACGCGACGTCACCAGCATCAGCATCACAGAAGGTAAACAACACCGTAGAGTGAACGTGTGGAACTCACACGAGAGAGAAAACACCAAGATGAAAAAATCTGATCCATATCATTTACCGACGAACATTTCTGCTAAAAACCGGGCAAAGCAGTACCCCGATGTCTTTCACGAAAGTGGGGGGAAACTATTCTGCACCCCGTGCAACTGTGTGTTGGAGCATAAGAGAAAATCCATGGTGACGACCCACTTTGATTCATTCAAACATTCGAAAATGCTTTCTGCTGCTGCGGACAAGAAAGCCAAACAACTCACGTTCACCGAGGGATCAACCTCCAAAACCCTTTCGAGGGCTACAAGAAACGAAGTGAGTAGCCTACAAGATTGAAGCTGGTCAGATAACGAACGAGTAAATGAAAACAGAATGAGGCGGAGAAGTGTGTGTGTGCACTGTTGTCTTTACGTGAAGTAGTGATGATGATGACGTGACGTCATCAGCTCGCGCATCACAGAAGGTAAACAACACCAGAGTGAACGTGTGGAACTCACACTTCTGCTAAAGACCGGGCAAAGCAGTACCCCGATGTCTTTCACAAAAGTGGGGGGAAAGTATTCTGCACCCCGTGCAACTGTGTGTTGGAGAATACGTCTTAGAGAAAGTCGACGGTGACGACCCACTTTGATTCATTCAAACATTTGAAAATGCTTTCTGCTGCTGCGGACAAGAAAGCCAAACAACTCACGTTCACCGAGGCATCAACCTCCAAAACCCTTTCGAGGGCTACAAGAAACGAGGTGAGTAGCCTACAAGATTGAAGCCGGTCAATAACGACTGAGACTGCCAAGGCACACNAATAGCGTTTTTCTTTCCATTTTCACTCTCGTCCATTGAAAACATGAACGAACAGGAGCTCTATAAACCGATGAGGTGAAATAGCCGTCCGTGTGTGGAACACACACGGACGGCTATTTCACCTCATCGGTTTATAGAGCTCCTGTTCGTTCATGTTTTCAATGGACGAGAGTGAAAATGGAAAGAAAAACGCTATTTGTTGTTTGTTTATATCACGGAGTCTGTTCTTCTTCTCTGTCTTCCGGTTGTTCCGGTTGTTGCCTCTTTTGAATGATGAATACACACTACCGCCGCCTGCTGGTAAGGAGAGTTATTGCCACTCACGCATGCGCAGTTCATACGTGCTCGGCACGGATTTGCGGTGTGTTCCAGTGCGCGAAGTCGGCAAATACGCAGGAGAGTCCGGCGACGCAACAGTCGGTGTCGGCGTCGGCGACTTCTCAGGTGACTGGCCGGTGTATCTGGGCCTTTAAGCAACTGCTCCATCATCTGAATCAAATGCACACATTGATGCCACCAAATATCACAATAAAAATAGAAAGTACTACAAATAAACTGGAATTCATTTACATCTTAAACTATATACACAAAAAAAGGTTTACAAATATCCAACCTTCAAATTGCTTTTTTAAATCAACACTGCTAAAGAACATTTGTGTGGAAATCTCAATTCATTTGTAGGGCTGCGTGAGTATGGCCAAAAGTATGGGAGTAAATCTCACTGTAAACTATTTAATCATCACCAAATTCTGTGTTATTATGACCGATCATAACTCAGCTTTATGCAGACATACATTTAGCATGGTGTACAGGGCCGGTTCTTGGCATAGGCGACATAGTTGGTCGCCTAGGGCGCCAGATCTGGGGGGGGCGCTGCGCTGGCAGCTCTGGGAGGGNTAAATAAGTTGTTAGGTTAAGTCAGGGCTGGTTTTTGGCATAGGCGACATAGGCAGTCGCCTAGGGCGCCAGATCTGGGAGGGGGCGCTGCGCTGGCAGCTCTGGGAGGGAAAAAAACATTTTTGACTGTTTGCGCTCATCCTAATTTTCGGCCTTGATGTAACAACATTCATAATTAAGTCAAGGT